TGATCGGTCCTCCTGCGCATGTAAACACATAACTAGAAGTTGACCTTCTCTTGTCCAAGTCCCCTGCATAATTAGCATCCACATATCCCAACACCCTTGCATTTTCTTTTTGCTTCTCAAACATAATCCTTTGTCACCAAGAACCCTTGAAATAATGCAAAATCCACTTGACTGCATCCCAATGTTGCTTTCCTGGATTTCCCATGTATCTGGAAACGACACTGATTGCTTGAGCTATGTCTGGACGTGTGCATACCATTGCATACATAAGGCAGTCCACGGCATTAGCATAAGGAACCTTCTCCATTACTTGCTGCTCTTCCTCGGACTTAGGACACTGTTGCCCCTTAACTTGAAGTGAGCTGCCAAAGGAGTCGAAACTGCCTTTGCTTCTTGCATGTTGAACTTCTCAAGAACCTTCTGAATATACTTGGCTTGTGATATTCAGATCCTTCCAGCAGTCCTATCTCTCTGAATCTCCATGCCAAGGATTTTCTGTGCTGCACCTAGATCCTTCATGTCGAACTCCTCGCTCAACATCTTCTTCAAGTCTTGAATTCTAGACTTGTCTTGACAAGCGATTAGCATGTCATCCACATATAACAACAGCAATATGATCATCCCATCTTGGAACACATGATAGTACACACAACAGTCATATAAACATCTTCTAAAATTGATTTTCAGCATGAAGTAATCGAACCTCTTGTACCACTGTCTTGGAGACTGTTTCAGGCCATACAGGGACTTCTTTAGCTGACATACTAACTTAGGTTTTTGTTAGGAAAATTGGAAAAGGCTTTGTAGTTGAGTCTTAAATGCTTGTCTTGGCTATAAATATATGTAAGTGCTTAGGCAAAGGCATGAACTAAAAGAATAAATTAGTTATCAGAAATTTTCTGGTCTACTTTCCTGTGATAGGAATTTTGGTGTGAAGTCCGTCTCTATCTTTATTATTAATAGGTTTTCTGTCTTAATTTCCATTCATATGTAGAGCAAGTGTTTCATTTGTTTAATATACCAACTTCCAATAAATTCTTCTTTCATTGCTTTGTCTCTAAACCTGTTCTTTCTTGAATCCTATAGATAATTAATCATAAGCCTACAACCTTCCAGAATTAGTACTCTATATGGGAATTAAGACTCACATTGGATTTTGAACAGACCCTAAACTAGAGGAATTTATACAATAATTGGAACTAATTAACTTCTGAATTTTGAGGAACATATTGTGGGAAGTGATGTTAACTAGTTTCATGCTTATTCTTACTGTGAATTTATTGTTATGTAGATTGGTGTTTATGCCTAGTGAGTTTCAAAGCTTGAATTATTCTAAAGTTGATCTTGGTTTGTAGTTAATTCATATCTTGCGCCATCAGCTACGCCCCCTGCAGTTTATCGTTTTTTCACAAAAATACCAGCAATTTTAGAAGTTACACAAACACCTCTTTATGTTTAAACATGTTTGGATGTTGCTAGAAACTATATTTGAGAGGGCGTCCTTGTAAATTATAAAGTATTTTGGATTTTACATTAGTTGACTTTCCTTACGGAGGAGGTTTTGTGCAACTGTATTATACATGAAGGGTTGTTGGTGACTTTTTAAGTGCAGTGGGCTTTGTGAAAACACGTTAAACCTCAAGGGTGTCTGCGTATTTAGCCCTTGTTTTCAATTACATATTAGCTTAAATCAATGGCTGCATATTTGGGGAAATTTATATAATGGTGCTTATGGATTGTGTGCCTGAGTAATGTTATGGCACCAAATTTGAGTCCCAAGTGGTGTGGCATGTGGGACATGCCACCTGATTAGTTTTATTTTAAAAATTAAGTGTCATGTCTTAATTAATTCAAAACTCAAATTCAACAAAAAAAGATGACAGTTTAGTGAAAAGAAAACAAGGAACCTGACAGTCCCAACCACAGTACCACCACCAAGCTGGATCGTGTACCTTGCCACATTGCTTTGTCATCATGCTCCCCTCTCGTAGCAGTTTCTTTACTAGACACCCAAAACCAAATAACTAACTAACCTGGAAAACTACTTATGCATAAACTAAGCTCTCAACTTTGGTTTTCAATCTAAAGTTTTGATGGAAAACAGTGCAGTTGAACAAGTTCTTTGTTCATGATTTCAATCCCAGCCCAACCTTCCTATTTATAGGTAGAAAACTTGAGCTTATTAGGTTTGACTAGTCATCGTGTAAACTCCTCATAGAGCAACCTGAAATCACCATGAACTTCCACCTCAGCTATAGGTTTGACACCACACCATCTAGCTATTCCACCTCTAGATATTTTGAAGAGAAAGAAAAGGACGAAAATTTCGTAAATACTTTTATGCCTATATGACTAGTTGATCACTCCTAGTCATCTGCACTTGTTTTCTTTTGGGAAAAATAGGTCTTTACATATACCGGCCTAAAATTTAGCTCCTAATTTTTCACCCTACAGGTTAGCTAATTATACAATTTAACAAATGCCGCCTTATATTAGGATGGTGAGAAAGTAAGACCATAACTCATAGCATTTGATACCTCTATCTGCTTCATTGCTTCCAACTTAAAAAGTAGAGAGTTTCTGTGTATTGGATTTTCTTTTCCCTCTAGTTTAATGCTGCTTTTGCAATCATTGGTGCGTTTTTGCATTGTTTTAACTTATAACTTGCTTATGAATGAAATTATTTTCGTAACTAGCTTATGGTTGTTTATCAATACATGTTAATTGGATATAATTTTTCACTGAATTTGTATTTAGTGCTTTAGTTGAAAGGTTAATTACTCAGAAATATGTTGACTTTGTATTTTTCTAGGAGTCTGGAATTGATGTGCGTCTTTGTGATGTTGGTGCTGCAATCCAAGAAGTCATGGAATCGTATGAGGTTGAAATCAATGGAAAGGTGTATCAAGGTATTTTTCCATGTGATGTGACTATCTTTTACACTCATCACAGAGTACATGTTATGCAGTTTACTTGTTAAAAAAGAGTGGAGCCTTCACCTTGCAAATATTTTGAGAATGATATTTGTTCTTCATTATGAGAGTGTAAATGGTACAAGACACATTCTAGCTAAATCACATAACCAAACCCAAAACTCTTGTGCAGTTACACACATAATATCCATGACCAACTTGCTTTCCATTAGAATTTTGGGTATTAGATAGAGTAGAGCATGCTTTTATTTGTCGCGACCTTACAAGAAAACTTGTTTATCACTGTCTTGAACAAAATAGTTATATTCTGATATAGAGATATTTGTTATTCTGTCATTAAGAAGGCTTAAAATTGCCGCAACTGACCAAAACCAAATTGGTTTTCGTGATTGCTTTAAAATATCAATGCATAACACATAGTTTGCTGTAAACTACGCGCAGCTTATACTGAATGCATCAAAACCAGCCAAGTCAAATATAGCTGCTAACTTGTCACTTTGTCGATCCTTGCACGGGTTTCTCATCAATCGTCTCACTGAGCTATCAATATTTTTTCAGAACTGAATTAATTGATGAATTTTGGTGGTGAAATAATGAATCTGTATGTGGTCAAATTGGTGGCTTGTGTTTCCTAGTAACTTCTACCTCTTAACTGATTATGTCAACCAGACTAAGCATTGTTGAATTAAATTTGTAGAAGAAATTATGGCTCCAATAACCTACCCTGTGTCATTCCCATTGACTTGCAATATTCTCACTTTTTCACTAGCTGGCCGAGTCAACATAAAATTGGCTCATACTTGGAGAAGGAAAATATTAAAGGAAGGGTTAAGTGTTATAACTGGCATGATTACAATATTCTCACTCTCTCACCATACCTTGTGTATTCTGCAACTGACTCTGAAAACAGTTTGTTTTGTTTTTCTTGTTGATTTTTGTTTTTGCTCATCAAGTAATGAGTTTGCCACTTTTACTCATTTATCAACAACCTTTTTATGAGATGCCCTGTTGATAATTCTGTACATGTGAGGTAGACTTTGTCTAATGTTTGCAGTTAAAAGTATCCGAAACTTGAATGGACATAGCATTGGACGTTATCAAATTCATGCTGGAAAATCTGTTCCTATTGTGAAAGGAGGGGAGCAGACGAAAATGGAAGAGGGTGAATTTTTTGCAATTGAAACTTTTGCGTCAACTGGTAAAAGAAAGTTTTTGTATTTGGCAGGAATCTGATGTGAAATAGGTAGTAGTTCACTGTGACTGCTGTGCTAACTATCCCATGTTATGTAACTTATATTCAGGGAAAGGTTATGTCAGAGAAGATCTAGAGTGCAGCCATTACATGAAAAATTTTGAAGTTGGCCACATCCCATTGAGGATGCCCAGGGCAAAGCAATTGCTAGCAACAATTAACAAGAACTTCTCCACTTTGGCCTTTTGCAGGCGGTATTTAGACCGCCTGGGAGAGACGAAATATCTTATGGCGCTAAAGAATTTGTGTGATGCTGGCATTGTCCAGGTATTTTTCATCAATCAACTTGTTCATCCTAATACTACTGTGCTTCAACACCAATTTTCCATCACTATTTGGTATTATGAAGCATGGCCTAGTTTGATTTTGTTATGTTGGGAAATAGGAATTCCCCCCTGAATTGCTTTGTGGTCACAGCAAGATGATAGTAATAGTCTTTGCTGCTATATAAATTCATCCACTCAAACGCTAGTTTTAAAGTGTTACATGGTACTTGCATATGTTATGCTTCTGGACTAAAGCTGAAGTTGCTGGTAGTCAAGTGAAGGATTTAGATGGTACTTGCATATCTTTCAATTTGGTGTTCTGAACTTCTAACATGTTTAAGGAAAGGATTTATTTGAAAATTTACTAATTGAGATAAGTTGTCTCTGAAAATATTTGTCAAGTAAGTTTAGGTTGGAAATCAAGAATCCGGAAACAGACACAGATTAATGAAAATAAGAAGCATTAAATGCTTGAATGGCACCATGAAACTATCAAAGAATATTAATGGAAAAAATTCACAGATTAATCTTATAGATGATGGAAGTTGCTATGCTGGTTTGTTTTCTGGAGTAGACTAGTACTAGTGTAGTCAAGTGGTGCTGTCGTGTGGAGGTCAAATCCTATTTTCGGCAGAAATCTAGTCAAAAGGCACCATCTTGAAAAAAAATCTGATTAATTGATGGAGAAGATGATTTCTTGAAGGAGACAGGAGTCTGGCTTACTGAATTATTTAATCGGTAGAGGCCTACATGAAACTTTTCCGTTTGAAGTTCCTCTGATGCAAGTAACACCTGCTTATCAATAACAAGTCATGCTTTCCTTTAGGAAACCTATGGTTAAGAAGACTACTGATTTAATAATAAGTGTGCATGCTAGTTTATTGCAATATTAGTATTTTTATTTTATTTAGTTGAGTTATGTACTCATGTTGGATTTTCATGTTGGTCTTTATGTCAATTTCTCAGTAAACTGCCTAATGAGGAATTGAAATTAAGACCAATATGAATTTCTGTTTATGCCCCGCATATTCAGCAGTGTTAATTGTTGCAAAGCCAGCACCATAAACCCTATATTATTTGCTTTTGTCAACCTACTCTTTAGCAATTTGGTGTCATTCCGAATTTCTGAGATGTAAGCGCGAGTACTATTCAGTCAAGTTTTGTTCATCCTGTTGTCTTGCAAGCATCCTTGACTTCTACCAGAGATAAAAAGTGAATATTTCTTTGGTGCCAATCTGCATTCCTAAAACCGTAGTTTGCTACAGTGGCTCCAAAAACTCAAAAGCAATTTGGGGCCAATGAGCAAAGACTCCCTGACTTCCACCAGAGTTATTTATGTAGATGTGTCGGATTGTAATGCTCATCTGATATCAATATATTACAACATAGCTTTTGTTAATATGCTGCTTTGTTTCACTATGTCGCTTCCTGCAATTGGTGCTGATGGAGGACCTCGTTCATTTTTCTTATGGCAGCCTTATCCTCCTCTCTGTGATGTTAAAGGCAGTTATGTATCCCAGTTTGAGCATACCATTTTGCTTCGGCCAACCTGCAAAGAGGTCGTATCCAGAGGTGATGACTACTGATATGGGCGACGATAACTTTGCCATGAAAACCTGCATGGTGGTTGTACCATGTTTTTTGAGTACAAACAGGAATAAGTTTATTTTTGTGTTTTCCACATTTATCTCTGTTATCTTTAACTGCAATGAAAAATTTTCTCAGTATTTTGCTTGTCGTATGCGACATGTCTATTGAAAAAGACACTAGTTTCATAGAAACATTTGAATTTCAAATTGAAAAAATTCGGTGACCAAAGAAATCTATATATTTCAAATCCATAAATATAAAGCCTCGATTGAACGGAGAAATTGATTTACACCCAAATTACAATGAATTTTATACCCAGTTTCAAAATTATCCGAAATGACGCATTTGCTTGTCCACTCTAAACATGTGTAACTGGATGAACAATCGTTAAAGAAAGAGCCATGAAGGGCGAAACAGAGAAGGCCCTTCGGAAAGAAAAAGGAAATGAGATTTCGTCTTTCCCTGTCCCTTCATTCTTTCCTTTTAATCCCTACCACTTTCTTTACTTTACTATTTTTATCCTTCCTCTCTACAGTAAACTTTGGCCGGGCATTGGCATGACCCCCCTGGAGCAGACTCGCTACACCTCGCGTCAAAACCCGGTCCAACAGCCCAAACCAAACCTTTGGGTTGGTTTGGGTACTTGTTTTGGTCGCCTAAACCAGCGTCTTCTTTTTCTTCTCCCCATATGTCGGACTCAAGATCCCACATTAGAAAAATAGTATATCATAGAGTGGTTTAAGAGCTCATGAGCACCCTTCCCTTACAAGTCGGTTTTCAAGGGCAAGTTTTACCTATGGGTTCTAAACATTTGGTATTAGAGCCAGGTTTCACCATGCAACTGGGCCCAAATTCACGGAAGGGGTGACCTATGGGCTAGATTAAAATGATCGGTGTTATGTATGAGCATGATATTGAGTCATTGAATACTGATAGGTGAGTGAAGCTGCCTCAAAGGAAGGAAAGGGCTACCATCGGGTCAATGTCGATAGAGTGGGCCAACGAGGACATTGGGTATGGAAGTGTGGTGGCATGTTAGGACTCAAGATCTCACACTGGAAAAATAGCATATTCTAAAGTGGTTTTAGAGCTCATGGGCACCCTTCTCTTACAAGCCGGTTTTTAGGGGCAAGTTCTACCCATGGGTTTTTAACACCATATCTCATCCTACTTCTGCCACTTTCCATCTCTCCCTCTCTATTTTTATTTCTTTTTTCCTTCTTCTCTCCCATTCTCTTTCATTCTTTTCCTCCTCGTTCCTCACTCAGTCAGTCTCTAAATTTTTTTTTTCCCTCTTTTCTCACTTTTGCGTCTTCTCCCATCTCTCTCTTTTTTCTATTTTTTCCCACTCTCCCTCTCTTATCTTCTTCTTCTCCTTCTTCTTTTTCCGCTGTCTACGTCTTCTTCTCTCTCCTGTCTCAGTCTTCTTTGTTTGTTTATTATTATTTTTCCCTTCTTCTTGCTCTCTCTATCTATCTCATTTTTCTAGTTTTTCTTCGGCCTAAACCCGAAATTGAACCAAAAAAATATGAGAATTCCAATTAGAGATGCAGGCTTCAAAGAGACATAAAAGATTTGCTAAAATAGAAATGAAACAAATTGAACTAGTTCAACCATACCAGTCTCTACTGTCAGCGAGGTTGGCTGAGGCAAAGGCTTGGAGGGGTCAATTCCAGGGGCAGCGCTAAAGAATTTGTGTGATGCTGGCATTGTCCAGGTATTTTTCATCAATCAACTTGTTCATCCTAATACTACTGTGCTTCAACACCAATTTTCCATCACTATTTGGTATTATGAAGCATGGCCTAGTTTGATTTTGTTATGTTGGGAAATAGGAATTCCCCCCTGAATTGCTTTGTGGTCACAGCAAGATGATAGTAATAGTCTTTGCTGCTATATAAATTCATCCACTCAAACGCTAGTTTTAAAGTGTTACATGGTACTTGCATATGTTATGCTTCTGGACTAAAGCTGAAGTTGCTGGTAGTCAAGTGAAGGATTTAGATGGTACTTGCATATCTTTCAATTTGGTGTTCTGAACTTCTAACATGTTTAAGGAAAGGATTTATTTGAAAATTTACTAATTGAGATAAGTTGTCTCTGAAAATATTTGTCAAGTAAGTTTAGGTTGGAAATCAAGAATCCGGAAACAGACACAGATTAATGAAAATAAGAAGCATTAAATGCTTGAATGGCACCATGAAACTATCAAAGAATATTAATGGAAAAAATTCACAGATTAATCTTATAGATGATGGAAGTTGCTATGCTGGTTTGTTTTCTGGAGTAGACTAGTACTAGTGTAGTCAAGTGGTGCTGTCGTGTGGAGGTCAAATCCTATTTTCGGCAGAAATCTAGTCAAAAGGCACCATCTTGAAAAAAAATCTGATTAATTGATGGAGAAGATGATTTCTTGAAGGAGACAGGAGTCTGGCTTACTGAATTATTTAATCGGTAGAGGCCTACATGAAACTTTTCCGTTTGAAGTTCCTCTGATGCAAGTAACACCTGCTTATCAATAACAAGTCATGCTTTCCTTTAGGAAACCTATGGTTAAGAAGACTACTGATTTAATAATAAGTGTGCATGCTAGTTTATTGCAATATTAGTATTTTTATTTTATTTAGTTGAGTTATGTACTCATGTTGGATTTTCATGTTGGTCTTTATGTCAATTTCTCAGTAAACTGCCTAATGAGGAATTGAAATTAAGACCAATATGAATTTCTGTTTATGCCCCGCATATTCAGCAGTGTTAATTGTTGCAAAGCCAGCACCATAAACCCTATATTATTTGCTTTTGTCAACCTACTCTTTAGCAATTTGGTGTCATTCCGAATTTCTGAGATGTAAGCGCGAGTACTATTCAGTCAAGTTTTGTTCATCCTGTTGTCTTGCAAGCATCCTTGACTTCTACCAGAGATAAAAAGTGAATATTTCTTTGGTGCCAATCTGCATTCCTAAAACCGTAGTTTGCTACAGTGGCTCCAAAAACTCAAAAGCAATTTGGGGCCAATGAGCAAAGACTCCCTGACTTCCACCAGAGTTATTTATGTAGATGTGTCGGATTGTAATGCTCATCTGATATCAATATATTACAACATAGCTTTTGTTAATATGCTGCTTTGTTTCACTATGTCGCTTCCTGCAATTGGTGCTGATGGAGGACCTCGTTCATTTTTCTTATGGCAGCCTTATCCTCCTCTCTGTGATGTTAAAGGCAGTTATGTATCCCAGTTTGAGCATACCATTTTGCTTCGGCCAACCTGCAAAGAGGTCGTATCCAGAGGTGATGACTACTGATATGGGCGACGATAACTTTGCCATGAAAACCTGCATGGTGGTTGTACCATGTTTTTTGAGTACAAACAGGAATAAGTTTATTTTTGTGTTTTCCACATTTATCTCTGTTATCTTTAACTGCAATGAAAAATTTTCTCAGTATTTTGCTTGTCGTATGCGACATGTCTATTGAAAAAGACACTAGTTTCATAGAAACATTTGAATTTCAAATTGAAAAAATTCGGTGACCAAAGAAATCTATATATTTCAAATCCATAAATATAAAGCCTCGATTGAACGGAGAAATTGATTTACACCCAAATTACAATGAATTTTATACCCAGTTTCAAAATTATCCGAAATGACGCATTTGCTTGTCCACTCTAAACATGTGTAACTGGATGAACAATCGTTAAAGAAAGAGCCATGAAGGGCGAAACAGAGAAGGCCCTTCGGAAAGAAAAAGGAAATGAGATTTCGTCTTTCCCTGTCCCTTCATTCTTTCCTTTTAATCCCTACCACTTTCTTTACTTTACTATTTTTATCCTTCCTCTCTACAGTAAACTTTGGCCGGGCATTGGCATGACCCCCCTGGAGCAGACTCGCTACACCTCGCGTCAAAACCCGGTCCAACAGCCCAAACCAAACCTTTGGGTTGGTTTGGGTACTTGTTTTGGTCGCCTAAACCAGCGTCTTCTTTTTCTTCTCCCCATATGTCGGACTCAAGATCCCACATTAGAAAAATAGTATATCATAGAGTGGTTTAAGAGCTCATGAGCACCCTTCCCTTACAAGTCGGTTTTCAAGGGCAAGTTTTACCTATGGGTTCTAAACATTTGGTATTAGAGCCAGGTTTCACCATGCAACTGGGCCCAAATTCACGGAAGGGGTGACCTATGGGCTAGATTAAAATGATCGGTGTTATGTATGAGCATGATATTGAGTCATTGAATACTGATAGGTGAGTGAAGCTGCCTCAAAGGAAGGAAAGGGCTACCATCGGGTCAATGTCGATAGAGTGGGCCAACGAGGACATTGGGTATGGAAGTGTGGTGGCATGTTAGGACTCAAGATCTCACACTGGAAAAATAGCATATTCTAAAGTGGTTTTAGAGCTCATGGGCACCCTTCTCTTACAAGCCGGTTTTTAGGGGCAAGTTCTACCCATGGGTTTTTAACACCATATCTCATCCTACTTCTGCCACTTTCCATCTCTCCCTCTCTATTTTTATTTCTTTTTTCCTTCTTCTCTCCCATTCTCTTTCATTCTTTTCCTCCTCGTTCCTCACTCAGTCAGTCTCTAAATTTTTTTTTTCCCTCTTTTCTCACTTTTGCGTCTTCTCCCATCTCTCTCTTTTTTCTATTTTTTCCCACTCTCCCTCTCTTATCTTCTTCTTCTCCTTCTTCTTTTTCCGCTGTCTACGTCTTCTTCTCTCTCCTGTCTCAGTCTTCTTTGTTTGTTTATTATTATTTTTCCCTTCTTCTTGCTCTCTCTATCTATCTCATTTTTCTAGTTTTTCTTCGGCCTAAACCCGAAATTGAACCAAAAAAATATGAGAATTCCAATTAGAGATGCAGGCTTCAAAGAGACATAAAAGATTTGCTAAAATAGAAATGAAACAAATTGAACTAGTTCAACCATACCAGTCTCTACTGTCAGCGAGGTTGGCTGAGGCAAAGGCTTGGAGGGGTCAATTCCAGGGGCAGATCTTAAGCCGGGGCAGGGTAGGCTACCGCCTACCCAAAAATATTTCACTAAAAACAAAACCTATATATAAGCTATGTAATTGATATCCATTCCATGTGTTCGTATATACTCTTGCCTACCCAATCCATATAAAACCCACAGCACAAGCCCACTCAAACTTTAAAAACTGAAAAAAATTATAACCAGCCAGCCCATGTTATGAATGGCCCAGTCAAACTTTAATAAAAGAAAGAATATAACTTAAGCAGCCAAATAGTGGCTGTGCAGTGCCATTCCAGACAGAGTCGGGAGAGCTTCTTCTCAACGCAAGTCTTGGCTGTGCTGTGCAATCGTGGACACTGGACAACCTCTTCTCTTCTCTTCTCATATACAAGGAAACAAGTATTCTTCTTAATCCCTTCTCTTTAATTATCTTCTTCTATTGGGTTATTCCGAAAATAAATGTATGCATCTTAGTTTTAATTTTAATTTGAAATTGAGTTTTCTAGGGTTTAATTAGGAATGAAATATAATTTGGGGATTTTGTTGAAATTAATTAGGTCTTTGATTTTAAGAATTTTGTTGAGATGTTTGATTTGATGTTGGCATTGTTGAGATGTTTGATTTGTTGTTGGTGTGTTAATGTTTGACTAAATTCATTGACACATCGTTCTTGTCAACAAAAAGATTTTATTATAGTTGAACATTACTATCGCATTGATGTATTTAATGATGTGATAGATTGCATGTTGAGGGAGTTAAATGACAGATTTCCAGAGCAAACAGTTGAACTTCTTATTCTTAACTCCGCATTGGATCCTCGTAATGCCTTCAAATCATTCAATATTGGGCATCTATGTGAACTTGCTGAGAAATTCTATCCTGTTGATTTTAGTCCAAGTGACTTAAAGGGTTTGTAAATTGAGTTGAGGTATTTTCAAAATGATATGCATCGCCTTCCCTGCAAATTGGACACTCATTGGACACTCATTGCCTTTTATACAGCCAACCCTAGCTCGCGGAACAGACAGGTGTTGTTGAATCGGTTCAGTTTTCCTGATTCATGGTTTTGTATAGCCTTTGTGTCCATTAGAATCCGCAATCTCTAATTTGAGTTCTCATATGTTTTCCAGTCAAATTGGACACTCCTAGCTTTTGATCTAGCCAACCCTAGCTCACGGAACAGACAGGTGTTGTTGAATCGGTTCAGTTTTTTTGATTCATGGTTTTGCAGATCTTTTGTGTCCATTTGAAGCCGCAATCTCTAATATGAATTCTCATACTTTTTCCAGTCAAATTGGGCACTCCTTGCCTTTTATACAGCCAACCCTAGCTTGCGGAACAGACAGGTGTTGTTGAATCGGTTCAGTTTTCCTGATTCATGGTTTTGTCGATCTTTTATGTCCATTAGACTCCTCAATCTCTAATTTGAGTTCTCATATGTTTTCTAGTCAAATTGGACACTCCTAGCTTTTGATCTTGCCAACCCTAGCTCACGGAACAGACATGTGTTATTGAATCAGTTCATTTTTTTGATTCATGGTTTCGCAGATCTTTTGTGTCCATTAGAATCCTCAATCTCTAATTTGAATTCTCATAGTTTTGCCAGTCAAATTGGAACCTCCCAGCCTTTGATAATGGCAACCTTAGCTCGCGGAACAGACATGTGTTGTTGAATCGGTTCAGTTTTCCTGATTCGTGGTTTTGCAGATCTTTTGTGTCCATTAGAATCATCAATTGCTAATTTGAGTTCTCATATGTTTTCCAGTCAAATTGGACACTCATAGCTTTTGATCTAGCCAACCCTAGCTTACGGGACAGACATGTGTTGTTGAATTGGTTCCGTTTTTTTAATTCATGGTTTTGCAGATCTTTTGTGTCCATTAGAAGCCGCAATCTCTAATTTGAATTCCCATACCTTTCTCAGTCAAATTGGACACTCCTTGCCTTTTACATAGCTAACACTAGCTCGAATCAGTTCAGTTTTTTTGATTCATGGTTTTGCAGATCTTTTGTGTCCATTAGAATCATCAATTGCTAATTTGAGTTCTCATATGTTTTCCAGTCAAATTGGACACTCATAGCTTTTGATCTAGCCAACCCTAGCTTACGGGACAGACATGTGTTGTTGAATTGGTTCCGTTTTTTTAATTCATGGTTTTGCAGATCTTTTGTGTCCATTAGAAGCCGCAATCTCTAATTTGAATTCCCATACCTTTCTCAGTCAAATTGGACACTCCTTGCCTTTTACATAGCTAACACTAGCTCGCGGAACAGACAGGTGTTGTTGAATCGGTTCAGTTTTCCTGATCCATGGTTTTGCAGATCTTTTGTGTCCATTAGAATCCCCAATCTCTAATTTGAGTTCTCATATGTTTTCCAGTCAAATTGGACACTCATAGCTTTTGATCTAGCCAACCCTAGCTCACGGAACAGACGGGTGTTTTAGAATCGGTTCAGTTTTTCTGATTCATGGTTTAGCAGATCTTTTGTGTCCATTAGAAGCCGCAATCTCTAATTTGAATTCTCATACTTTTTCCAGTCAAATTGGACACTCCTTGCCTTTTATACAGCCAACCCTAGCTCGCGGAACAGACAGGTGTTGTTGAATCGGTTCAGTTTTCCTGATTCATGGTTTGGCAGAGCCTTTTTGTCCATTAGAATCCTCAATATCTAATTTGAGTTCTCATATGTTTTCCAGTCAAATTGGACACTCCTAGCTTTTGATCTAGCCAACCCTAGCTCACGGAACAGACAGATGTTGTTGAATCGGTTCAGTTTGTTTGATTCATGGTTTTGCAGATGTTTTGTGTCCATCAGAAGCCGCAATTTCTGATTTGAATTCTCATACTTTTTTCAGTCAAATTGGGATCTCCTTGCCTTTTATACAGCCAACCCCAGCTTGTGGAACAGACAAGTGTTGTTGAATCGGTTCAGTTTTCTTGATTCATGGTTTTGCAGATCTTTTGTGTCCATTAGAATCCTCAATCTCTAATTTGAATTCTCATAGTTTTGCCAGTCAAATTGGAACCTCCCAGCCTTTGATAATGCCAACCCTAGCTCACGGAATGAACAGGTGTTGTTGAATCAGTTCAGTTTTTTTGATTCATGGTTTTGCAGATCTTTTGTGTCCATTAGAATCCTCAATCTCTAATTTGAATTCTCATAGTTTTGCCAGTCAAATTGGAACCTCCCAGCCTTTGATAATGCCAACCCTAGCTCACGGAATGAACAGGTGTTGTTGAATCAGTTCAGTTTTTTTGATTCATGATTTCGCAGACCTTTTGGGTTCATTAGAATCCCCAATCTCTAATTTGAATTCTCATAATTTTTCAATCAAATTGGACATTTCTAGGCTTTGATCTAGCCAACCCTAGCTCACGGAACAGACAGGTGTTGTTGAATCAGTTAAGTTTTTTTGATTCATGATTTCGCAGAACTTTTGTGTTCATTAGAATCCTCAATCTCTGATTTGAA